TTGACCATATTTAAGACAATACAACCAAAAAATAATTTAGAATACTAAATAATCTAAAAAACTAGTAGGATCACATAGGATTAGGGCTGGAAAAAGCTGACACGACCCGAAAACCCAACCCGAAAATAGCGGGTTTGGGTTGAGATTCTTGACCCGAAAACTCACAGTCTCATAGTCTCACTCCTCTTAGCCTCACTTCTCACAGCCATAAGAAGCTCTTTCTCTCTCCTATTTCAATTTTCCTCTCAATTTTCTCTCTCTTCAACCGTGGAGATCCATATTGCAATTCAAGAGTAAGGTAGGGGCAGGTAGTTCCCAGACTTCCCACGCATTAAAATTATGGAAGAATGAGAGGTGGTGGCGGCGGCACTAGTGATAGTATCAACTAGCAAGGCTTAAGTTCTAATTAGTGAAATTAAAGGACACAAGGGTGTGATGAAGCTGATGTCTGATGATGTTTACAGTACTATTCTCATGTTTTTGTTATATATCCTATAATGCATAATCTGTAAGGTATGATATTTAATTTTAAAAAAAAAATTTGGGTTGTAATCGTTAATTAGGAATTTAGGATTGTTACTTTGTTGTTTATTTAGATTTGAAATGAAAATTTATGAACTTTTTTTAAAAAATCAGCTTCAGGTCAAAGAAACTTGATTTAGAACCAAAAAAAAAAAAAAAAGTCAAGTCAATTTTGGGTTGACCTGAACCCGAAATTATCAGGTTTAGGTCAACATTTCCAACCCGAAAAAGTTAAATGGATCAAGTCGGGTTGGGGGGTTGCTAACCCAAAATTAGGTGACCCGAACACGAACCCGACCCGACCTAATCCATTTGCAAGCCCTACATAGGATCAAGTACGATCGTACGATCCTACACGATTCTACGCGATCCTATCCGATCCTACCATACTTAGGCTGAAATTCCTCACCATTTAGTTGATTTTCAGGATCGGGTGGGATCGATGTATAACACCCTAAAAATTTTCTTCCTTTAAAATACATGTTTTACCCTTTTAAAATATGAAATAGAAAATAATTAAGGCATTACCGCCATCGTGATAACGGCTAAATCATTTATCAAAGATACAAAGCAGAAGACATTTTTCAAACCTTTTAAACCAAAGTACAAGTCTAACAAAGTAACAGTTCAACCAAGCAAAGTAAAGTCAAACAAAGTCACACCTACAACTTGGAACCATTGTAGGCCCTTTTAAAGCCAAACCATTATTTTAAAACCAACGCGATAGTATCCTCAAATAATAATAATAACCAATAATCAATAATAAACACATATTTGAAATAGAACTAGAATAGGATTCGCTCTTCGGTCAAGCCCCAACATGAACATGCTGCAACACCTGAAAAGCTGCTCTTTAATTGTCCCTACTACTCACCATAAGAAATGGATCGTTTTAGGGCCAAGATAAAGACAAGGCCAAACACACACAAAACACAAACAATCAGCAATGTTGTGTACATAAGCGTAAAAGGAAACACACTAACATGATAGCATCCTAGCAATAACAACATAACTTATCTTTCCTCAGTGTTCAACCAACCTACAAACAATAGACATAACATGGACTCATTACTTTATTTACTTTGATTACGCATCGAACGAGTTTCCAACCAAATCCCTGCCCCAAATAAATTGAGGTAAATTACTCCAGAAGCTAACCAAGTAGGCATAGATGTCACATGAAAGTGACGGACGTCCTATGCATCATAATAATAAAAAAGAATGTACAACGTTTTGTACCCCCAGTAGAATTATTGATCAAATATAGAGTCACATAACTCCCCCCATATGTTCATACTCAAGGTATATACGTTGTAAGAGTTTTTGGTGCGTAACATCTTTCACTTTACGTTGTTTACACATTTTAAACTTGGTGATGACTCTCAATCAATCAACATAATCAACCAACATGAATCATTCAAGTAATCAAACATTCCAATTTAGTTCTTGAACTGTTTTTAAACTACCTCGGTGTAGAAACACCTTAAGCGCATAAAGCACCGCAAACCCTATCCCTTGGTGTATAAACACCTTAAGTGCACGTAGGCACCACAATATAATTTATCCCTGTGTTCTAAGACCCTTAATAGCTCAATTCCCATGCTTATAGCATCAATAAAAATTATATGAACCATAATAAAATTCAAATTTATTATTCCAAACCAAATTAAACATTTAGTTTAATCAAATAAGCCTTTAAACATGCCAATAATAAAATTGTGGTCCATATACATTATTCCAAACATCATAAATTCCAACAATAATTCATTTCAAATAAATCATGCCTCATAAACCAATCAACAAAACCAATCCAACTTCACAAAACCAATCCAATCCAACAATTCCAACCAATTCCTAGCATGATACTAACTTGGAGTTAATTAAATAAATCCTAGCATGCTTCTACACGCTTTAGTAAATACCGAGTACGCGAACATACCTTATATTGTCTTTCTAAAATGCTAGAAATCACCTAACTTAAAGTCTCCTACAATACCAAGTGCATAACTCAATTAATCCCACTTAATTACAATTTTGCTAATGATCCGGATCGTTTGGTAAAAATTGGATCGTAGGATCGTACGATCCTAAGATTCGGATCGCAGGATCGTACGATCCTAAGATTCGGATCGCAATTCTAATAACAATGGTAACTAGGTAATATGGGGTAGCTTTTGATAGCCTAAAGATAACTTTGTGAGAATAAAAGTAATTGGGTAATATAAGTAACTTTTGATTATTTAAGGTAATTTTGTGAGATAAAGGTAATTGAGTAAAAAAGATAACTTTTATGAAACTAAGGGTAACAAATGCGAGCGTCATAGCTAGCCATGTCCGGAAAGCTGTTTTGGTTTTATATTGCCTCAAATTTAGTTGTTGGCTGCATTAATGAGAGAATATATATAAACTAATGTTTTTAGGGGTGTAATTGTCCGCATACTATTCTTAAAAATGTTAAAAATAAAGAGACAAACAACTTCAATCAGAGCAAATAAGTAAACAAACATTCTTAGGGGGTATAAATGTCCGTACACTATTCATAAGAGTTTTCTCAAACTTTTTAAATGTAGGGATATAGGTAAATTTTGATAAACAATAGCTGGATATACATTAAATTTTACTAGTACATCCGATGCTTGCAAAAACTTATGATATGCCGATATGAGGAGACCACTAGTGGATAGAAAAATAGTAAAATATCGTTAAAAGTTTTCAAAAGAAAATGAAATAACTAATTAAACACGGCCGCAAAAGGAACTAGAGCAAGTAATAAGATACGGACGGAGTGTAATTTGTTACGAGTATTCATAAACTCTTATACTCTGGCTGGCCTTACTGATTATTAATTAGTACTCCGTATAATATATACAATTATGTAATATGCTATTGGTATTTTAGATTTGTCACAATGCCTTTTTAAAAATTAAATTTCTTATAATTTTTATTAATATCTATAATAATATATAAAGTGAGAAAGACTTTTGGATGATAAATTTCACTTTCCCTAAATACCCCTCTCATTTTATTCTTTATTATTTTATAAAAAATACCACCCTTTTAAAAAAAAAAATTATCTTTCATCCTTTTTTTAATTTATTTTTTAGAAGTCATATCCTATATTCCTATTATTTATCCTACATGACTTCATCAACATATTATTTTTAAATAACATATTTATTTTGTAATTACTATTTTTTTTATGCATCAACAATTTTTAAACCCACTAATTCTTTTGGTATTTTATTACAAAAGGAGAATAACATTATGAAGAAAAAAAAAAGAGAATAATAATTTTTTTTATATTACACACGTATGCATTGCGTGTGTCTTTTAGCTTATTTAATTAAAAGACATATTTGGTCAAAGTTATGCCTCGACAAATACGTAAATACGAGTGTTCATAAATTGGTCCAGACCTAAAAAATGGACCGGGCCAGACCAGACCAACCCCAGGACCAGACAGAATTAATTGGTCCGGTCTTCGGGTCTAGAAATTTATTGTTTCGGTCTTCGGTACGGTCCGGTTCAAAACCCTATTTTTTTGCTTAAAATTATGTGTGAAACCTTAAATAATGGTTAAGATTATCCTTAATAAGCTTAGAAAACTTTAATTTTATGAGCTTTTTTGTACTAAACATACAAAAAAGACATTAAAATATAGTTTTTCCTTTACTTTTTTCGACTTTTTCATTAAATTATTAAAAACTTAGATTTTTTTTAAAAATTCTTAAACCGGACCAAAGCGGTCCAGTCCGGGGTTTGACTGATTCTTTCGGTCCGGTCTGGGTTCGGTCCCAGCTTAATCGGTCCGGTCTTCGGTTCTTAAAATTCTAATTTTCGGTCTTCGGTCCGGTCCGGTCTTGGACCGATGAACAGCCCTATATGTAAACACATTGTACCATTAAAAAAAATAAACAGAAGGAGTTATTTGTAAGTCGTAAATTGTTAGTGGATTGGTAAACACCGCCATAAAAAACGATCACCACCACAAACATTTGGTGTGAATGAACAACCATACCCCTACTAATTCACCACCCCTTCCGACCGGCGACGACGACCACCACCACCACCCTGACCGGTGAACCCACCACATCCCCCTCAATGACGACCCACCACCTTCCCTCGCCGACGGGAAGGTGGTGGTTTTTTTTTTTTTTTTTAATTTCCGTCAACCGAAGCCCAAAACCGGTTACCGGAGCTGAAAATAAAAAACAAAAAAAACCACAACTTTCCCGCCGACAAGGGAAAGTGGTGGGTTGTCATTGAGGTGGATGTGGTGGGTCGTCAGTCAGGGTGGTGGTGGTTGTCGTCGATCATGGTAGTGGTTTCAAGGTGTGAGTGATTGGTGGCAAGAGAGAAGATAGTGGTGAAATACTAAGGGCATAGTTATCCTTTTCTCATACTAAAATGTTGGCAGTTTTGATATTTTTTATAGCGGTATACCGTATACGGTATTTAACACGCCCATACGTAATGGCTAGTTGGCTACAGTTACTGACTTGCAGTACACATTGAATTTCCTAGTTATTCAAAAACTGGTTCACGCAAGTACCCCCACTTCCAACTTCATCGACGAAGCCCGCCGTCCACCGCCGCATCTCTTCGCCTCCAATTTCTCCGGCAGCCGCGCACAGCTTAACCTCCACTACTGGAAGCATCGTTTGCACAACAAGGTAGCCCCTAATTTCATTTCAAAAATTAATGTATAATTGTACTCCGAACTATCGCTTTTGTTGAATTGTTGATTGAATTTGTAATTCTGTTGATCGAATTGCTGTCTGCCTGTCTGAATCAAGATTTGTGCATTGCATTTCTATTATTTGTCTTTAATTTTATATATGCGAAAAAATATGTGATGAATTGTGTGATTTTAATACTGGGTGTGACAAAATAGCTCATTTCTTGCACGGCTCTGTTGCAGCGCCGTGCGCAAAGAGGAGAGAGAAAGAGAGAGCTTTATTTTAATGGCGCAGCAGAAAGCGGAGGATGCAACGCACCCTTTTAAGAATCTCTACAGTAGAGAATATCAGGGTCACAAAAAGAAGGTAATTTTAGCTTTAATTGCCCTATATATAGGATTTTCATTTTTTTTTTTGGGTCCAATTTCCTGCATGCGAGTATAATGTTTTGTGAGTAATATTGTAAATGTGTTCCAAAATATATTAAGGTGCATTCAGTGGCTTGGAATTGTATTGGAACTAAGCTTGCCTCGGGTTCGGTTGATCAAACAGCTCGAGTTTGGCATATTGAACCTAATAATCATGTAAGTATTGGTTCTATGCACTCCTCAATTAATGTGTATCTTATTTGATGTTTGTATAACATTGCTAAGATTGAATGAATCTGTTTTGGGTGGTTTTGTTAAAGTTGTAAGTGGTTAGATGTGAGATTGCATATGTTCTCCAAATGGGGGATCAATACCGGGTAGACTGGTGGTTGAAATGTGTTATTGTATTGGGTTGTCAAATTGATTATTTAGTGACCAGGTGACCTACTTAGCTGTGTATGAATCGTGTTGAGAGCAATGAATCCCGGTTTTTCAGGTGAGGGGAAGAGATTCAATTAGAAATTTATGTTTGTAGTTGACTAGTCGTATTTTGATGATGTGGCCGGAACTAATTGAGAGGGGAATTAGTATTAAATAAACTGTGACTTTGCCTAACCTACTGTATCAGAAAATTATAGACTTGCCCTCTAGAAGATGGTTCTAATTTATTTCAGTCTTATGCACTTTAGCTTGTGAGGTGAGATTGTAGAATTGCTTGTATACCCTCTTTGTCTCAACTTTGTTTTGCTCTTATTTTGATTAAAAGGGTTCCTTTATATAGGCGCTTGGCTAATCTGAGAAAAAATTCCTTAATTTTGGCCTAAAGTGAAGTGCCGCAATATCCATGGGGAATTCAAAATGGGTACTATTGAGGTGAAATGAAGAGTTCAATTAACATAGCTTTCCCTTATTCTCTTCCTAGTGTCCTCATGGGGACCTATTAATTGGGAAGACTGATTAAAATATTGTTTTGGATACAAGATTTGTGGATTAGGTAGACCTATTGAAATATTGTGTGGATACTAGATTTGTGGATCGGGGAGACCTATTGGAATATTGTACTATGACGTGCATACTTTATCCCTTAATGTCTTTGATTGTTTGATATGATACTCAACTATTACCTCTGATGCTCTTCCTACTAGTGCCGTTTTTTAGTTGGAGCTTGAGCTGTCGTGCATTTGATACTCTAAGTGTAACACCCCAATAATTGTCTCTCCTACCTGTATAATAACTTAAAATACGAAATTTCCTCCGTTTTTTAGATGCATCACTTTTGTAATTGCGGACTTCTAGGCAATTTTTGGAGTAGAGGGAGATAGAACGAAAAAGTATAGAGGGCCCATGTGATAAGAAAGAGATAAAGATAATTTATTAACTAAAAAGGAAAGTGATGCATCTAATAAAAAATGGAGGAAGTATAAGAGAATCACTAACACTTTGGTTACCTTTCTATGAAGAGTTTTCATTTCTAAACCTCTTAGCATTACTTTGGTTATCAGAATTCCCAAAGTCTTTCCTCTTTTCTCCAATTTTACTACTTTCAGCTGCGCCCTTAGCATTCAGACCATATAACTGCACAACTCTTTCATATACCTTATCTTGGTGTTAAAAACCTTCCCGACTAATAATAGTTTTAAAGAATGATAATATCCTGCAAACATGCTTCTTTAATACCTGAATGGTCAAAAAATGCTTCTCGACTAGTCTAAATGTGAAAATTAAATCTTGATGGAGGGAGTACCTGTTTTGATATCTCTTGTCTATTGCAATGCGGGATTTTAGAAGTCGAGGTAGGCCAAGATAACTTGGATAAAGTTAAAAATGATAAGTAGAAATTTGGTTTTCGGGAGCATATAGTACTTAAAATTGAATGAAGTAAGAGGATCCTTGTTTACAACCACTGGATATAATAATTTGGTTCATGCAGTTGATCCCAACTCCATCCTATTAGAGTCAAGGCTTGGACACTGTTAACATCTATTGCAATGTGCTACACTATTTTAAGTTCCCATTAGTCCTTTCACGATGGCATGAACTGGGTTTTTTTTGGGTTACCACGTAACCATGGTGATATAATAAAGAGTTGGTATCCTGACTTGTGCAAATTTTATATTACTTAGATCTGGCAAGTGCTATCATGTCTGAAATACATCTATTATAGTATTTATAGTTTTGTGTTTTTGTATGCGTTTATATTCCTTATCCTTTTGATATCTACTGCAGGGAAAGGTAAAGGATATTGAATTTAAGGGGCACACTGACAGTGTGGACCAGCTTTGTTGGGATCCCAAACACGCAGATCTACTTGCAACTGCATCAGGGGATAAAACAGTTCGTTTGTGGGATGCTCGCAGTAAGTCGAGATAATCTAGATGCTTATAGATGTGGAAAAAGCAACTAGTTATATTGCATAATGGCCCCCACCGTCTCATTTTATGGCTTAATTTTCATCATGAACTTTTTCCTTCTGTCTTACCCAGTGCTACTCATGATGAATGTCCAACTCTCTTTGGGTTATCTCAATCATGTGTGGCATATCATGCTTACACTTTCAGCAAAGTTGAAGGATAAGTAGAGGAAAATTTTGGACCTTTGGTTGGTTTACAATTGCCTAAAGCAAAAAATACTTTTTTTTTTTTTTTTTTTAATAACTTAAGAAATAGTCAGAGTCCATGCATTTTCCGTGTTAGATGATGGAGATCCTCTCAAAGAATTAGAACAACTGATACTAGCCCAATTCAATTTTAAATATGTTGACATGTAGCATAGTGCAGAGAGTAAATAGCAGGAACATGGTTATTGTTTCCTAACATAACCAAATGCTACTCTTCTAATGATTGCAATTTTTATTTTTTTATTTTTTTTGGTGACCGTTAGCCTAATCAAGTACTCCCTAAGTATACCTGCTAAATAGAACAAGAAGTCTCTTCTCATCAAGGAAAGAGAAGCCACCTAGATGCTCCCACAATTATATCCCAGAACTAGTAGGTGCTGTTTATTATATGTTCAAGTTTTCAATTAATTTCCTTTCACATCGTTTGCATGGGTATGAAATGAATCGGGTAAGGCTGTACTTACACAGTTACACATGTCCAGAACGTTGTCACTTGTGATCTTTGTGTTTGTATGCTTCCTTTCTACAAGTTCCATATATTCTCATCCTATTATTGCATCTCTAGCAAAACAAAGTTAAAATATGATCTAACTATAGGTGGTTCCAGACATGCTTTTTAATACTTTTCCCATGTCAACTAAACAAGCACTAAGAATATTCATTTTGACCTCATGGACATTGCCTATCCTACTATTGGGTGATTTAATATGATGGTATTACTTTTACCCCGCATAAAAACATATTTATATTCTCTGATTAGCACCATCTACCCGGTGTTGTTTTGTAAGACTTTTTCATCCATTTAACTAGTTAGGGGGTGATGCTGCATTCATTGACTTTCGTACTAGAAGGCCAAAAACCCCATTCATATTGGCTTTTTTTCCCTCCTTTTTTCCCCCTTTTCTTTCCTGTTGAATAATCACTAAAATCTTACATTTACCTTGAAAAGTGAACAATAATCGGAGATTGTATAACTGAACTTTTTAAGTAAAGATCAGATGTGAGAACAATGAATCATCCAATTTTGTTTGTATTACAACATATTGAATAGAATGAGACTCTTAGCATGTTTGACTTTGTGCTGAGCAGGTGGGAAATGCTCACAACAAGCAGAACTTAGTGGTGAAAATATTAACATTACATATAAACCTGATGGGGCACACATAGCTGTTGGAAACAGGGTAATTCTCTGCAATTTTCATGCTTGTTCTTGCGTAGCTCTTACACTGTTTTGAGTTTTGTTCTTTGTGATCACTTTTAGAATGTCACTAATGCATGGTTGGCAGCATGTCAGCTTGCTGTTACCCCCTATTGCTGGAAGAGGCCATCTCACACCTGACCTTGGCTTTGGGGTTTTTTGCTCATTCTAAAACCATAATTTTTTTTTCCTTTTTGTAGGATGATGAACTAACAATTCTAGATGTTAGAAAATTTAAGCCAATTCACAGACGGAAGTTCAATTATGAGGTGAGTTCCTTTCATCTTACTGTCAGTTTGTCTCTATGCTTTTTATTTCCTCGAAATGTTTTAAATTCAACTTCACCTTTGCTTTGTAGTTCTTGATAAGTGTGATTGGTCACATGATTAAGTACTTGACATAACATTTAGATTACGGTTGTGTTTTGGCATAGCTAGCTGAAATTCTAAACGTTAGTTGAAAACCAAATAGTTATATGATTGCAGTGAAGCTGCTAGCTAAAAGGTTGAAAGCTTAAGTCAACCAAAAGATCACGTTTTAATCTTTCTGTAGTATGACTGTATGACTAAAGATCATAGTGAAGGAAAATTCACAAAAAAGAAAGTAATCTTTTTGAAAAATTAAAAAATTTGGGTTATTATAGTTATGATGCATTTATCTGCATGCATTCCTGTGGGGGAAATCCCAATTGGTTCAAGCATGAGTTGGTGTTCATCAGTCACCACCACGCACTTCTGGCCGTGTAACATGTGTTTGGGGCCTGAGAGAGGCAGCCCAGGTTGGGCCTGCTATACCTATACTAAATATAAACATTTTTTATTTTTTATTATATATACTTGCTTGCAACTATGCATTGGTTCCTTGTTGTCCATTATCCTGAATGAATATGAATGGCTCACAGTTTTGGGGGTTTTGTGTGGAAAGGTAACTTCCGTACTCTTTCTCACCCAGAGAGATGTGTAAAAGTCAATGGAAACTGTGCTCTTAATTCTCATGTTCTAAGTAGAAGAGTGTAAAAGTAAATTAAGCTAGTGTAAAAAATCAGCTCCAATATTTTTGTTCAATTACAGAGTTGATAATGTATTTATTACTAATTTTTTTGCAGGTAAATGAGATTGCATGGGACATGACTGGAGAAAAGTTCTTTCTGACAACTGGAAATGGTAAGATTTGATTGTTGATGTAGAATATTGATTTGTGCTTTTGTCAAATGGAAATGTCAATATCAGTCATGTTTTGCGCTATAGGTACTGTTGAAGTCCTTGCATACCCCTCTTTGAAGGCACTTGACACCCTTACGGCTCACACTGCTGGTTGCTATTGTATTGCAATTGATCCACTAGGAAGGTATCCCGACTTCTGTCTCAACTTATCTATCCATCCTGATACGGAATATTTTTGTCTTTCATTTGTTGGAAGAAAAACAAGGGAAAAAAAAAAAAAAAAGAATCATGTCTTGCAGCTCTCTTGCTAAGATACCTTTGTTCAAACTCTCATGGTTGCTGTATGGTGTGATTTTCTGTTCCTGATATTAGATCTGTTTTTTAGTTGTAGTCATTAGTTTTGGTGCTGGTGGTAATCTGGTGGCAGCTACTGAATTCCCTTGTGTTCAGTTGTCCAACTTGTCTATTTTGTGAAAAGTTTCCATGTTTTTAGTGTCGAAAATCCAAGACTGGTACTTTCTTAATTTTGTCAAGAATCTGACTCTGGTATTTAAAGGGAAATGAAAAGTCTGAGTTACATAGCTTGTGATTATGCAGTGTTATCAATATCCTTAGTATTAAGTTTGTAGCACTCTGGTCATTAATCATCTCTATTTTGCTTAGAGCTGGCAAAAAGTCGTGTCTTATCATGTTCGTGTTTGGTCGTGTGTCAATTTCATGTTGTTCACAAAATCTATCAAGAACTATGTAAAATGTAGGATAATTACATAATTTGACCATTTTATTTAAATGGGCTGTGTTCAGGTTGGTTTTGTGTCGTGTCTTGTTGACTTCGTGTATTCTCTCCTAATAATTCATTATTGACGTGTGTATAGGTCATGGCTACTGGTTACAAAGATCAAATCATTCATCATTTATAACTTTTTCCTTGTAATTAATTGAAACATGTCCTGTTGATACATTTGGGATAAATGGCAGATATTTTGCTGTTGGAAGTGCTGACTCATTGGTCAGCCTTTGGGATATTAAAGAGATGCTATGTGTTCGAACATTTGTAAAACTCGAGTAAGATTACTTCAGATTTATCTTATGTTTATATATTTGTGGTCCTCCTATATTCCTGTAACTTTTTTTTTTTTTTTTTTTTTAAATAATCTCAGGTGGCCTGTCCGAACAATAAGTTTTAATCACACTGGAGAGTATATTGCTTCAGCCAGTGAAGATTTATTCATTGACATAGTAAGTCCCCTAGATATTCTTTTGCTGACATTTGATTCCAACCCTTTCCTAAATCTACCGCTCTGTTTGGTATCTAAACTCCTTGTGTTCAATTGGCATTAAGAACCCCTTGTGAGGTGTGGTCAATCTGGTCATGATTGTTGGAAATGCTTTATCTGATTTATTTGACTTGAATTTAACAGGCAAGTATTGAAACTGGACGATCTATCCATCAAATACCTTGTCGGGCGGCAATGAATAGTGTTGAATGGAATCCAAAATCAAACTTGCTTGCATATGCTGGAGATGATAAAAACAAATACCAAGCCGATGAAGGTCGTAAGATTTCTGTGCACTTATACTTGAAGCTGATAATCCATTTATTTATTTTGTTAGCACGCAGCTCAATTCCTTTTGAGAGGACAATCTTCAAATTTTCACCCTATTTTTTTTGGTGGAATTCTGGCAGGTGTTTTCCGCATATTCGGGTTCCAGAGTGCTTAGTGTTTGCAGTGCGACTGTACGAGGTTTTAGTATGCTCAATTTCCTTTCCCTTGATAGCATTCTGCTGAAGTGTTGGTGTGGAATGAGACATGCGTATGTTAGGTGGATAATTTAACTATGCTAGATTGCTAGTAATGTATTCCAATTCGACCAATATTAAAGAGATGGAGCAGTAGCTGTGGCAATCTGTGTAGAGGCGGGCAATGGATTATTCAAATGGAAAAATCAATCAATTTTAAGTATGATTTAAATCTTCAGAATTAGTCAGATTTGGTTCCAGTCTACACCCTTTTGAAAACTCCCCAACTATGCTTTTCTGAGGGATGCATGCTTGAGAAAAGAAAGAGGACGGATGAAGAAAGGAACATCAATCAGAGACTTGAGCATCAACCACTAGTGTTTAACTAGTTATGGCTGGCTAAATTTTATTATATGTTTCCAATTTGAAACAAATATTATTGTTGAGAAATTATGTAGGTAATTTTGCTCCGAAATACACTTGAAATATTCCGTTCAGAAGTAATACATTCTGAACTTGGTAGGATTTTGTTTATTTTGCATATTGCAACTCATACTTGCACTTCCTGTGTTTTTGTTAATTGCAACCCTCTTTAGTATGTTGTTTAGTATCAAGTTTTAAGTTATGTTAATCCTTGAGCCAATGACATTTCCTCTGCTCATAAGGATGAACAAATTTATTCAAAAAAGCTGTTCGTTTTCGGATTGTTTACTCATTCTGCATAGGCTTTTAGTAGGCTTAGCGACTTTCTAGAATCATTCTCTTAGGGATACAAGCAACATATGTGATGCACTAAAGTAACAGCTTTTTATCCATAATTTGTGACAAACACCTGCAAGTTAGCTTGGGTATTAACATCAAGTTTTCAGTCGAAAGTTGATGCTTCATGTTGAATATTGTGCTAACAGTGCTATATCCCTACCCATGATTTATGGCGAAATTAACATCAGCAAATTTATTTTGATAAAAACCAAGAGTTCAGAATCGGAAGTTGGCGCTTCATGTTGAGTGCGTGTAACCACTTAGTTTCGAGTTATGGAATTGTATTACTTAGCTTCTTCCAGAGAATTAGAGCATGCATAATTAGCAGCCAAGATTAATGGATGATACTTGAATTTGTTCTGGATAGTTCTTGATATTTACAAAATATTACAATTCAAGCTAATAACCAAAAATAAATAATCGCCAAAGCTATTGTGTGGAGTTTGGAAAACCTTGATGCTTTCTTGAATTATCCTTGAAATGGTTTTCTTGGCGTAGATGTACGATTCTCTAATGACTGCAATCTCTGCTTCAGGTGAAAAACTTCATACTGCAAATTATATTGATGCAAAATTAGAGTACTGCCATGTATGTCGAGTATGTCCAGATAATGTACTCCTTGGACAGTTGAAAATACGAGATACTTTGTAAATATTTTATTGAAATTGTTTAAAAGGTAAGTGAAAACTTTATACTAGGATATGCACAAGTGAAACTTGAACATAGAATACAAGGCCATACCTGTAATTGGAAAGCTCTTGTTCGTTCATTAGTCAGCATTTTCCTGGTAGAATGCAGCTCCTAGATAGAGTTTTTAGGGGAAAAAGAGGAGATACATGAACATATATTCGCATAAGCAAGTGGTTGTCTAAATCAATAATGCACATAAAATGGAGCGTTTTTTAGTAAAGATGTCAAAAAAAAGCTATACCTTCTGAGTGTCATCCAAGACTGCTTTCAAGAAAGCTACATCATGTTCAAGTCTTATGTTATCAGAATGTGCAATGTTAGACAAATTATTAGCCTCTTCCTGTGCCAGTTCCAGACCTCCTAACTTCTCCTTCAGCAACTCCATCTCCTTCATGGTATCAGCCAACCTTTTCTCTGTCTCTTGCTTACTCTTTAGAGCAGATGATGTGTTTTTCTCAGTAGCTTCACGATTAGCCAAAGCAGCTGCGAGTTGACCTTCAAGCATCCCATTCTTCCTTATCAAGGCAGCCATTCTTGTTTCATACAATTGATATATGCTTGAAGGAGCAGAATAAACTCCACACTTCTCATCACTTTCTGGGAAAATTATCTCCTCGTTATCAAGTGGAAACTTTTCACTGACACAGCTGGGGACACTAAGATTTCCAGACTCTGAAAAAGTAGGTACATCTTCCATGATAAATCTGCCTGAGGTTTCGGCTGGAAAAGCTGTTTCAGGGGGTCTTCTTTGTTCTAAGAACTGAAATTCATTCAAATTGTACAGGATAAAAATTTGGATACAAGCATTACATTATCAAGGGACATAAAGTATAAGCTAACAACCAGGTATCCACCAAGCAACACTTACATTTTACAAGTCATGAAAAATAATCTCTAAGAATCAACAGAAAGCCCAATATTGCATACAAAGTTATAAAGAAGTTTAGACTAGTAATAACAAAGTGAAACTATGATGGCCTCACCTGAGAGAGTGAGTTCTCATCATCAGAACTCCTTGATGGTTTACGAGTTGGATCCTCCTCACAGTGAAATTGCTTCCTTAGAGAAACACTTCCAGAAGCATTTGTTGAATCAGCATGGACAGACTCTGATAGAGATCTCCTAGTAGAGCCATGTTCTTCTATTATTGATGCTAAATTTTGTCTAAGAGAATCAACTGGACAGGAAGGAGCACCATGAAGCTGAGATGCAAACTCATTAGATGAAGAACGATTATGCCGTGGTAATGACCCCGGATTTTTATTTGGGGCCAACCTTCTCCCAGAAGAGTTTCCACTCTTGTCCAATATCAGCACTTCAACCTGTGCAATAAAGTAAGGTAAATTATTGAAACACAAGTGATCTCTAATACCAGCTGTGGAAGAAAAACTTAGAACCAACCTGATTTGATGGTTCTTTCCTAGATCCTCCAAATGCAACAAGGAAGTCCCTCTCCTTGTGTTGTACCAGCACAAGACTAAATCCCTGCAAATTACATCAGAAAATAGTAATAAGGAACGTAGAACACCCCCAGATAAACTACCTACAACTGCTACATGTGAAAGAGAGAGAGTTGTCTCACTTTATTGGTTGTGATGGAAGATGGAGGTGATGTAGTCGCAACTGACCATTCAACTTTTACAATGTCAAAAATTAAGGTCTCCAAGTGTCCTGCACAAGGCATAAGAAAAACACCATTGAAACATGAGCAAAGTACTTTCAATGCTTATTCATCCATTGAAATTAGGCATCTTACTTTTTAAACAAGGAAAAAGTGTGCTGATGTTAATTTTAAAACAGCACAGGTGCTCATGATGGTTCAGTGAAAAGAAGTTTTTAGTACAGAACTCTAACTAGTAAAATCTATCATTTAATATCGATGTACTGATAAGTTGTCCATTTCCAATTATGCCAAAAGATTGACTATGTGTTGGGTTTGGATTAAGATGAAAAATTCACAGTGGCCAATTATTGGAAAGAATGACGCCCCAATAAAGTTGCAAGCCTCTCTCACTAGCTATTTCAAAAACTCCTGAATCCAGCCAGCTATTGCCGAAAGCAAAAGCAAGACAATTAGCAAAATCAAAAAAATAGATACTGCTGATACCTACTTTTTTTACGGCTTCCACCACCAGTAATATACCATTTAGTTCCACATAGTACACCGCAACAACCAGCTCTTGGTGAAGGATGGAAACCCCGGATCTTGTTTTTTGACCACATCATCTGCAACACGAAGGCACAGTTTAATTTATCCATTCATATCAAACAAATGAAGGTACAGAATGATTTTAGATGAAAAATTGAACAGTGATATATGAGCAGGAATGATTCTACTCACCGTCTCAAAATCTAAAGAGTACAAGTCATTAAAAGTCTTAGATTTTGAAGACCCTCCGAAGATATAGAGTATCCTATCGTCGTATAGAGCTGCAACATGATTGGATCTTGGAGATGGACCTGTTCCCCTGTTCACACATTGTACTTGTTAAAATTCTAGTAATACCAGCAATTTCCAAGTATCCACACCCAAAATTAAAATAGATTCTCCCAAGCAAGTACCAGTTATAACTTTAATCAGGTACGATGTAACCCTGGACATGTAAGGCATTGAAGTATTGAACTAATGGCCCATTTGATAAGCAGTAATTAATGGCAACAATGGAAATGAATTTATATGTAACTTAAATCATTTAATTGGACATCTAAGGCATAGAATTAACAGTCCATTAGATAATCGTTAACAAATACCAATAATGGGACTAAATTATTATGTATATTGCAAAAAGAAAGTCTCATGCAGATAAGCAGTCATGCCTATGCTTGTCTGCCCACAAATATTTCTTTTTCTTCATAAAATTTCGCTACCTTCTTTAGAAGGTGGTAGTGAGTGCAAATAAAAGAAGTGGCATTGAGTTCAAATAAAAGGAGTGGCATTTGGTGCAAATAAATATTCGTGAAAAATAAAGTACAGAGTACATATTTGGGGATAGAGGCATTACCATGGACATTGACCTAGACCTTTCTTTGAAAAATTACAAATTTCTTAATCTCCATACCACAATTTATTACCATGCTAGATTTGAGCTAGATGCGAAAGTGCTAACAATTACAAGAAAAGATTAAAGACATGTGAAGGGAGATGGGATCCACTTACGTGCATTGAAGAGGTAACCATGTCATTGACTTCAGATCAAACATGTGAAGGTCATTTAACTTCCTTCTTTTAGAATCCTCACCTCCAAAGAGAATTAAAACAGAACTTGATTTGACCACCGTATGACCACTACGAGCAACCTACACGGATATGCTAACTTTAAGAATCTCTACTTTCAAATAGAAGCTTTAATGTAAATACATATAAATAATCATGACCCATCAACATGGTTGTACGAATACCTTCAGGTAGACAAGTATAATTAACCATAGTAAACAATGATCAATATCTCATTAAATATTTTAATGAAGGGTAGGAGGTACATGAATAGCTCACATAGTTTAATGTATTGTCCGCACTTTATTAAATCGCATCAAACCCAAATTGGATCACCAGTAGACAATAACTAAACATGATTGAAAGACATAAACTATTCACACATAACTACTCTTGTCTTTCTATGATGATTGACATAGTTAAAAGAATCCCTTTTCTGAAGAAAAAAAAAACACATCTACACTGTATCCAAATCATGTCAAAAAAACCAAAGAGTTTTCTATTATCATTATCTATCACCGTGTTCAAGTGTCCAATTATGCATAAACTGCATAACAATGACCAAGCATGACAGTCACTTAGGGAAAAACCAACAAAGAAGCTACAGCAATCACAATGGGAATGATAGGGTACATTATTGTACCTTTCACATTATTATGATCCCAAATTTTTCCTTAAAAGTTCTTTAAAGCAACGAAATAATTTTGGCATTGAATCATTGACTAGTGAGTATAAATTCACTAACTACTTACATAAACGTCATTGTTATCAATCACAGCAATCCAAGGTAGTCCAGTCCCAGTAAACTAACTAGAGGTAGGGGCTCTCATTGTATTTAGTTAAACATCTTTAATGGTATAAGTAAATATGCACAACTTTGTTGCATATGTCTTAGTTCAGCGAGCGTAGTGGAGCAGACTAGAAGCACTAATCACAATCTAAAAATCTAGCCCTGTGTT